ACAGTGTACGATTTTGAGATGTATACATTTTATGTACTGTATGTTTATTTTTTTACTATTAAGATAATGTATTGAACGCTTTTGAGATGATATTGTACGATTTTTAGAGTTTGAGGGTAAACAGGTCTGTTGTTCTCCTGCCATTCTTTTCTTAAACCTAATCTTCTTTCTACTGAGATTCCATATTGGTCTGATTTTAAAGTGCCTATTCAATGGCATGCTCCACCAAGTGACGGCGCTTCTCGTGCAGGAACAATCTTGAGGCCTCTAGGTTGGTCATCACTTTGTCAAGAGTCAAGCCTTTAGTCTGAAGATAATGCTGTTTAAGATTAACTTCCTCAAGTAGATCACCCCAAAGTTAAAGGTAGCAGATAAACGTAAATCACAGACAGGATGTAAAAGACCCTGTGCTGTATGACAATCGTTCTCGGATGTTGAAGGGCGGTGCTAGTGACGAATCGGCGGGAAAATTTTCTTTTGAGTTTTTATGGGTTTCGAAATGTTTGGTTTCAAAAATAGTTTGTTTTTTTAAATAAACTTAATTATTAAAGTATTTTAGAAAATTTTTTAAAATATTATTTTGTTAACCATATAAATTGATCAATAGTAATTTGTTAATGTTTTTTTTTTTTAATTTATATTTACCGATTCGATTCATGTCGCCCGACCACTTTGTATTTGGTATCAATGGAAAGCTTTATTTCTCAGAATTAAGATACATATAGCCTTGGGCGCCCGCAGAAAACTTTCTGGTGGGGGGGGGGGGGCAAAAAAATAGATTAACTTTCCGGGGGGGGGCAAAAAATTGTAGGAAGGTTTTAATGTAGTTTTAATTTACTGTAGCGTATTTGTATGGTGAACGAACAGACAAGACATCAACTTAGTTACTTTCTCTTTATTTTCTCTTTACTTAGTACATTTTTTGTCTACTTTTGTCTAAAAAAAATTTATCCAATCAATCCAGGGGGGAGGGGGGCAAGTGCGGGCGCCCATGCATATGTTACGAAGTTACCGAACACTTCAATTGGCGTTTAACCATGGTCAAAACGGTGTATTTCTGACGTTATTATAGTGGCACTTTTATTTCTGACGTTATTATAGTGGCACTTTTATTTCTGACGTTATTATAGTGGCACTTTTATTTCTGACGTTATTATAGTGGCACTTTTATTTCTGACGTTATTATAGTGGCACTTTTATTTCTGACGTTATTATAGTGGCACTTTTATTTCTGACGTTATTATAGTGGCACTTTTATTTCTGACGTTATTATAGTGGCACTTTTATTTCTGACGTTATTATAGTGGCACTTTTATTTCTGACGTTATTATAGTGGCACTTTTATTTCTGACGTTATTATAGTGGCACTTTTATTTCTGACGTTATTATAGTGGCACTTTTATTTCTGACGTTATTATAGTGGCACTTTTATTTCTGACGTTATTATAGTGGCACTTTTATTTCTGACGCATCAACCTTGAACTTTTAATAAAGCAGGCATTTAATTTTGGATTGGTTATATGTGTGTAAAATGTACCTGTGATCGGTTTTCCTTTTATAAAATTCGCCTAGATCGAGCAGTGTCTGCCTAGATCGAGCAGTGTCTGCCTAGATCGAGCAGTGTCTGCCTAGATCGAGCAGTGTCTGCCTAGATCGAGCAGTGTCTGCCTAGATCGAGCAGTGTCTGCCTAGATCGAGCAGTGTCTGCCCCGCAATTCGCCTAGATCGAGCAGTGTCTGCTCCGCAATTCGCCTCGATCGAGCAGTGTCTGCTCCGCAATTCGCCTAGATCGAGCAGTGTCTGCTCCGCAATTCGCCTAGATCGAGCAGTGTCTGCTCCGCAAATATGCCATTTTTCAATTTGGTGTCACCCCTGAGATAGTGTCACCTGGTGTGGTCTACAACCCCGCCACCCCTTAGTTAGCCCCCCCCCCCGTCACAAACACTGTCACACTTTCTTAGACTCCCCCCACCCTTATTTTTTTCGGGAGCGTGACGTACTTTATGGACAGACTCTAAGCTGGGTTGCAAATTTTGTTTATTTGGCAATCTGTGAACTCAGAGATATAAGTGGATTTTTTTTTTTTACTCGAACAAAGCGAAACACAAATAAAAACAATGTCAGCATGAAGTTAACAGAAAGAGGACTTTTAAAATGGAAATGTGCCACCCACCCCGTCGTGGCGTCCACGAATAACTTTGACAACACCAATTTAAAACAGTGGGAGAAGATTTTTTTTAAAAAAACGTTTAATGATATAAATTGATTTTTTTTTATGGCAAAACCTCGCTGAAGACAAGAAGAGGAGTGAAGTATCATTCATGGTGAAGTGAAGATCTTTGTTGATTATTTGTATGGGTACAAAGTCTCGCGTGGTATAGGTGTCGAGACTCGAGATCTGACTATCATCATGAACCCAGATTTCTGAAGCGTCATACCCAGACCAAAACAAAAATAAACATAGAAACATATCCCATTTATTTGAGCAGGATTAGATGTTCGGGAATTTTTAGTTCAATAATTTTCTTGGCATGAGTAGTTTAAATAACACACCTACTAATTAGGTGTACTTAATATTGTGTGACTTTAATATTGCTTGGCTTTATTACAGGCTACATAGGGGAACAACTTTTTATTTACCTTTTTTAAATCACTGAACTTGAATAGATCTTCACATTATAATCGTCATAATCGTTAGAATAGTTGTAATCGTTAGAATTGTTGTAATCGTTAGAATTGTTGTAATCGTTAGAATCGTTGTAATCGTTAGAATTGTCGTGATTGCTAGAATCGTTGTAATCGTTAGAATCGTTGTAATCGTTAGAATTGTTGTAATCGTTAGAATTGTTGTAATCGTTAGAATCGTTGTAATCGTTAGAATCGTTGTAATCGGTAGAATCGTTGTAATCATTAGAGTTGTTGTAATCGTTAGAATCGTTGTAATCGTTAGAATCGTTGTAATCGTTAGAATTGTTGTAATCGTTAGAATCGTTGTAATAGTTAGAATCGTTGTAATCGTTAGAATTGTTGTAATCGTTAGAATCGTTGCAATGGTTATATTCGTAGCAATCGTTATACTTTTAATATTGAATATGTTTCAATTAATGTCAAACTTGTCCCATGGAGTCGTAATGGGAAAAATGTTTTGTTGCTTTAGAGCAGAGGTTCTTAATTTTTTTTTTTTTCTATATTTAATGGATCTCTTTGCCAGTCACAGTCTGACCTTATTTTTCTTTTTTTTTAAAATAATGTTTTAAGGCAGACCTGCACAACCCAGAAGTCGGGCCGTGGTACTTTATGAAAAATTTTTGCGGGCCGAAAGAAAATATGACAGGGGGAATAGCTATTAAGAAAACAAAAATAATAAAGAATATTTCATTACTTCGCTATGTGCTGGCGGGCCACATGCAGCCCCCGGGCCGTATGTTGCATGGGCCTGTTTTAAAGCGTACACTAAAATTACACAGGAAGTGCAGCTAAAGGACCCCTGACATCTTTTCAATGACTCCTTTGGGAGGTCCATGGACCACAAGATAGAAAACCTTTTCTGTAGAGTAAAGATATTAGTGATCTCAAATTACCTCCCCTTTTTACAAGAAAAACATGTTTTTAACGCCTAAAATTTAATAATTAATAAATCCATGGGTATAAAGGTTTTTTTAAATATATTTTTTATTTGTTTATTTCTTCTGTTCTTCTCTTCCTTCATTTTTCATTCGGGGTGTGGGGCTGGGGTTGGAGGTGATGGATAAATGGATGCCCCGTTCCATAAGATATCTAATTTAGCAGCAGTCATAGTTTTATCGAGGATTCCTAGAAACTCGTTTTGTCCTCGTTCACTTCAGACACGAGCACGCTTTTGTTGACCCAGTTGTGTACACCCTCGTCCTCTGGGGACGCGCCGGCAGTCGTTGCGTCATCGACAAAGCCGCTATTCACGTGGCACAGCTCCTGTGAGTTGAGGTCCTGTTTGGGACGCGAGCTTTTGGCGTTCGTCAAGCCTCTGGGCTTGTCGTGCCTGGCCTGGAACTGGTCGTAGTTGAAACAAAACATGGCCATGATGAGGAACATCACCCCGCCCGCAGCGAGACCCATCTTCATGTTGGTGGCGTACCTCTCCATCAGGTCGCCGAAGTACGGCCCGTTGATGTTCACGCCCAACCTGACGGTGGCGTGCACGGTGAAGGGGCGGGTGAGTACCAGGCAATAGTACAAACCAAAGTCGGGCTTATCGATGTTGTTGACGGTGAGTGTGGAGCCGTTGTTGCTGAAGCTGTAGTGGCGGCTGTCGTGTGGCGTCGATTCGTTGATGATTGACGCTGGAATGTAAGATGCAATTCATTTCATGTTCATAACTTTCAGAAAAAGCTACATGTTATCAAAAGCAAAGCAAAACAATGAGTGAAAGTTATAAACAGCCATAGCAACTTGAAACGTCAACAACACGGTCTCGTCATTATAATAGAATACTGAGACTGGCGAATAAATAGTGTGTTCACCATTGTTTAAGACAGCACCGGGTAGTCTTGAAAACATTCGTTAATTTCGACAACATTGAGAATTCGTTAATTTTGACAACGTGCGGTAATGTTGCGTTGAACATCAGACGACCGCTTGCCCCAAAAAATATTTCTCGGTGAGCTTGAGCATGGATGGAAAGAGGCTTGCTTTGGCGCGGGGGGGGGGGGGTTACAAAAAAACGGTATAAAGACAACCTAAACGCTGCATTGAAAGCGTTCAATATAAACCCGTAAACATGGAAGACTCGGCAAAGATCGATCATCGTGGTGTTCTGATGGCTCCAAAAAGCATTTCATCAAATTACTAATGAGTCCAAACCTGGAATGGCAGTCTCTAAATGTGACCTTACGTAATGCTCTTTTTGTTTAACGCATCTTTTGCCTGCTTGACTCCTTCATATGAGGAGAGGTTAAAGGGTGAGGCTAGAGAGCAAGGCTAGAAGGTGAGGTTGGAAAGGTTAGAAGGTGAGGTTAGATGGTGAGGTTAGAGGGAAAGGTTAGAGGGCGATTTCAGCGGTGAGCTATTTTATTGTTGGAATAAGTCAATGCAAGCACGAAGAAACAGTTTTGGAGGTAAAAGGTGATGCACTTAATAGGTAATATACGGTAATCCTAACAAGGACACATGAGATGAGGGCATCGTTTCATTCTGTTAAGCAACACCTGCACGGTCGAAGGTAGTTTGTTCTATTTTCTTTAAATGTGCAGGCATTCACGGGAGAATAGTGAGGCTTGACGCAGGGCCTGGCCCTGGCTAGACAGTTAAACCAACTCCACCTACGCCGCCTACGGAAACTTCTTGACATGAGGTGGCAGGACAGAGTCCCTGATACAGTGGTCCTACAACGGGATGACTTTATCAGCATCCACACACTCCTACAAAAAGGACACGCCAGGTGGGTAGGGCATGTCGCAAGAATGCCAGACCGCAGGCTTTCCAGAACTAATGGTCAGTCAACTGTCCAATGGGGAACGTTCAGATGGTAGGCAGAAAAAACAACGCTTCAAGGAATGTCTAAAAGCGTCCTTCACATCCATAGACATTGACCTTGATTTGTGGGAGACTCTTAAAACGGATCATGCAAGCTGGCGAGGCAAACTGCCTGTCGGAGCACACATGCTGGCTTGACAGACTCACTGTCGGAGCACACAGGCTGGCTTGGCAGACTCACTGTCGGAGCACACAGGCTGGCTTGGCAGACTCACTGTCGGAGCACACAGGCTGGCTTGGCAGACTCACTGTCGGAGCACACAGGCTGGCTTGGCAGACTCACTATCGGAGCACACAAGCTAGCTTGGCAGACTCACTGTCGGAGCACACAGGCTGGCTTGGCAGACTCACTGTCGGAGCACACAGGCTGGCTTGGCAGACTCACTATCGGAGCACACAAGCTGGCTTGGCAGACTCACTGTCGGAGCACACAGGCTGGCTTGGCAGACTCACTGTCGGAGCACACAGGCTGGCTTGGCAGACTCGCTGTCGGAGCATGATCCTCAGAGAATAAGTGCACCGCTCACGCCTAAAGAAAGCACACTGCAAGGAAGAGCAGAAGTGAGACTCAAATCCTGCTAGCAACTACTGGCACCCAAAACAACGAGGGTCCCACTTGCGGGAAACCTTTCCGGGCACAAACTGGCAAACAACCTACGTGCTAGCCGTGTTATAAAGCTTTTGTCAAGTTCGCATGCGAAGAAAGGACGACAACAGTGTTCCAAAAATAGGCCGCTCCTACTTATAAGCCGAAGTCTTACTTCCCGTTGTTAGCATATACCGGTTTATTATCTATTTATTTGTTTTAAACTTCACAAGTTTAAATTCTTTAAAAACACAATATGAAACTACCTTTATATAAATTTAAAGGTCTACAATTTTATTATAATTATTGCTAAGTTAAAAAAAAACACCATCTGCTCTGTTTTCACAATTATATTTCATATACATACATACATATATATATATATATATATATATATATATATATTATTACTGTGCTTTTGTTGTACAAAAATATGTGCCGGTACTCAGTGGTGGATTGCCTAACTTTTAACTACCAGTTCGCACCTCTATGCAAGCTAAATCACATAAAACACAATATGAAACTACATTTATATAAATATAAAGGTATACAATTTTTTTATAATTATTGCTAAGTTAAAAAAAAACACCATCTGCTCTGTTTTCACAATTATATTTCATATACATACATACATATATATATATATATATATATATATATATATATATATTATTACTGTGCTTTTGTTGTACAAAAATAGGTGCCGGTACTCAGTGGTGGATTGCCTAACTTTTAACTACCAGTTCGCACCTCGATGCAAGCTAAATCACAATTGCAAAGATACTAAATGTCTAAAACAATTTTATTTTTTAATTAACAAACTTAAATTGTTTTATTATTATTTTATTAGTATACCGTACACATTTGTTATGATTTGTAAAATCGTACCGGCACAAAAAAAGCACTGTGTGTATATATATATATAGTGATTTTTACATAGTGATACCTGTAAATAACGAAACTTGAAATAGCTCTGTCCCTGGAATAGGCGCCAACTCGCCTCGTAACCGAGACTCATTTTTAAACAATAACTGAACCTACAAACAGCACCACTTTTTTTACGGTCCAAGTGTTTGAGGTTTGAGCTATTTATAGATAGGTTTCACTGCGTATATACAAGTCCCCTTAAGTCATTTTGATGGGCGTTGCGGAGAAAAAAATCAAGGGAGCCGAAGACTCCTGAGACAAAGCGGGACTAGGGGCTCATTGTCACGGTCAGATCGCGTGAGTTTTCTGTGTCAACTTTTATAATGTTAATTTGACCAATCGTGGGTGAGTTTATTTTCCCCGTGTGCCCCACGAGTTTTTATTTTTCTCGGTCAAGGTATGACCGGTGTGCTGTGTCGGAGAGAATAAGACGTGTGTGAGTTGAGTTTTGAAGGAGTGAACAGTGGCGAGTGCTGTGGATATGGTGTATGATTTTTGTCTTATGAAGGCAGTGAGTTTTTCTACGGATGGAAGAGGACTTGTGTAACTTTAACTGTTTTGTGTAGTGGCATATAGGCACACATAGCCAATAAATAAGAAAACCTGAAACCCTGAATTGTTTGTTGATACTTGGAGCAAGAGTCAGCTCTGTAGGAGCTGGAAATAAAGGGGTTCTAGACCCTTGTAAAATTGTTCTGTGGCTAGTACAGAGGGGACCGACCCCTAGACAACATACGTCACGTCACAGTGGGGGCCCGTCGAAGCAGCCATATCATCCAAGTCTACCATCCACCACAGTGGAGCAACCATCCACCACAGTGGAGCACCTATCCAAGTCTACCAACCATCCACAGTGGATTAACCATATAAATCATTCGCCATCGTCGCGGCTCATCAAAGAAACCATCCAAGCCTACCATCAGCCAAAGGGGAGGCCGTTCGATGCAGCCATATCAACCCTAACCATCCACCACAGTGGAGCAGCCATCTAAGCGCGCAATTAGCCACCGTGGGAGCACGATCCAACCATACCAGCTCATCATTCGGTACGTGGTTCAAAGGTTCATCTAAGTCCAAACAAACCATACCAGACCATACTGCACAGTGGAGGCCGTTAAAGCAAAATCATATCGTCCAAAGAACCCTACCAGCCTACCATTCATCACAGAGAGGGCCTGACCAACCAGACACACCAGCTCTTCGAAACAATCATCACGGCCATACCAGTCCAGAGGAAAGCCGTGCAAACCAACCATACAGCTATACCAACCTTAACTTTTAGTGACATTGGATTATTGGAGACACCAGACATTCCAACCCTATCTACCTACAAGAATACAAATGAACACATGGATTATACTTCTCAATACGTACGAAATCCCAGTGCCACCCATCAAGAGAACCATCACAAGTAATTATTTTAAGTACATTATTTAGTTATTAGATTTGCAATTTCTATTGTTTTATTACTCATTTCATTTGATCCATTTCCTATTTGTAAATTTTGTGTAAACATATATATTGACATAAGACTTAGAGATAAAAATGTCGTTACCTACTATTGCCGAAATTAAACAAATGGCAATAGATTTGGGATTAGAAGGGGAGGAAGCGAAAGAATGGATAACAAGAAGGGAAAGAGAGATTCGCGATGAGGAAAGGGACATTCGTGCATATGAGCGGGAAGAAAAAAAAAGAATACAAGAACATGAAATGAAAATGGCTGAGTTAGAAAAGGGGAAAGGATCAAACCAGGATAGAGAACAATCGACCGACACAGGTCGTTCTAAGAACAAAATACCAATGTTCGACGGGCGTGCTGACCATTTGGACTTCTTCCTCATACGGTTTGAGGATGAAGCAAGACAGAACAAATGGCCAATCGAGACTTGGAATAATGAACTAAGAAAATTAATGCCACCCGAACTACTCCCAGTTTGTTTCGCAGGACGCGTGACAGGAACGGAGGCCACGTATGATGAGGTAAAAACGGCACTCTCAAAACAGTTTAGGCTTACAGCTCAGGGCTACAGAGATAAACTGGCAAAGATGACACCGGACAAAGACGAGGGTCTGATGCCATATGCGAACAGGATAAGCCATTACCTAGCCAGGTGGATTGAATTATCCAAGTCAGAGAAGACCTATGACAATCTGTTCGCACTAACAGTGGTAGACAAAATACTACAGACGGTAAATGAAGACATAGTGGAACACATATTGGAAACAAACAATATGACTCTTGATGCCGTCATTGCGACCGGGGACAATTACATGGCTGCACACCCTACTAAAGTCCTGACACGCACGGACGCACGGGGGTCTGACACACATGGACCATCAGGTGTGTCATGCTTGGCTTTAAACGCTAAGGGACAGGAAGGAAATACAAAGCAACAAGTTTACAGGAACACAGAGTGGGAAAAACGTTACTGTCATTTCTGCCGCTTAGTGGGACACAACACCGAGAATTGCAGAAATTTACAGCAATACCACGGGGACAGGAAGTTTAGAGAAGGAACCAGTTATGTGAACAGGGGGGATAAAAGGTGACAAAGAAGGGACGGAAAATGGGGCAGGAAAGGGAAGGCTACTTTTAGTTGTGTCGAGAGCAAGAAATCAGGGATAGTTATTACGGAGGGAGAAGTAAATGGGGTTAAGGTAAAAGTAATAAGGGACACGGGCTGTGAAATTGTGGGAGTAAGGGAATCTATTTTAGGGAGATTAAAGGGAAAAAGGGTAAACGAAACAGTGACATGTATTTTGTTTGATGGGCAGAAGAGGGTTTACAAACTAGGAAATGTATACATAAAGTCACAATACTTTACAGGATGGTCTAAGGCGGCTCTATTAAACGACCCACCAGTTGATTTAATTATTGGAAACATAAAGGGGGCAACAATGGGAGGTAATACCGTAGTTACAGCCGCAGTTGTTACCAGGGCACAGGGTAAAAGGTCAGAGGACATTGACCCAATAAAACGACACATAACAGAACTAGAGGTTACGGAGGACAAGTTTAGAACGTTACAACAAAACGACTTCACACTGAGACGTACGCACGAGCACGCCAGAAGACAACTTAGGGCGGGTAGACCATCACAATTTAGATACAGAGATGGACTTTTAGTTAGAGAGTTTTGTCATAGTAGCAAGGGTCAGAACAATGTTTGGGAACAATTAGCTGTCCCCAAGTCGTTACGAAATATAGTGCTAGAAATAGCGCATGATAACAGCTTATCTGCACATATGGGGATAGCCCGAACAAAGGCAAGAGCCTTGGAAGAATTCTGGTGGCCTGGCATAGCGAAAGATGTAAGAAACTATTGTAAGACGTGCGACGTGTGTCAAAAAGTGAAAAACCAAAGCGCTGGAGGAATTGCCCCCCTGGGCGAAATGGAGTTAATCGACAAGCCCTGGGGGAAAGTAGCTATTGACCTCGTTGGCCCCATAATACCAACATCCACAAAGGGATATCGTTATATCCTCACTCTTGTGGACACCGCGACTAGGTGGCCAGAAGCAATCCCCCTTAAAAGAATAACTGCCGAGAACATACAGGAGGCACTTCTGACAATATTCACTAGAATGGGGTTACCAGACGAAATTTTATCCGACAATGGAGGTCAATTTAAATGCGATCTGATGAGCCAAGTCACTAAACTGATGGGCATAAACCAACGTTTCAGTACCCCGTTACACCCGCAAAGCAATGGTATGGTCGAACGATTCAACGGCACCCTAAAAACATTACTCACTAAAGTGTCGATTGATCATCCTAAAGACTGGGAATCACACGTCCCAGGTATCTTATTCGCCTATAGGGATAGCAAAAATGAATCAACAGGGTTTTCACCTTTTGATTTGATGTTCGGGCGAAAGATAAGAGGACCCATAAATATTCTAAGAAACATTTTTGCTGGTAAGACTGACCAGGCAGAGGAAAAAACAACTCATGAGTACATTGAAAAATTACGGAACCAACTAAGAGTGAGTGGCACACTGGCAAGTGGGAACCTAAAAGAAGCTAGGATTAAACAAAAGCAAATATACGACCGGAAAGCCCGTAATAAAACCATTACTATAGGGAGTTTAGTGGTAGTCATGAAACCCTCCACGGGGAGTAAACTACAAAGAGCCCGTTGGCATGGTCCATATAAAGTATTAGACAAAATAGGGGAACTTAACTATGTCATATTAGAGAAAGGAAAAAGAAAGACTTATCATGTAAATATGCTAGTCGAATATTTTAAAAGGGACCAGGAACAAAGTCAAGAAGCAAATAAGAAACCAAATAAACAGAACGTCATCAGGAACATTAATAAGATAAGTAAAAATAAGGAATCAGTAGCAGCATACGCAGTAGTAATAGAGGATAACGAGGAGGACGAGGACGCTAGGGGTATAAATACAGTCACTACCCAAACCCTAGAGATAACTGAAACCATTAAAGATGTAAGGATCAATCCAGATCTCAATCAGTACGAAAAACAAATAATTGAGGATATATTACATAAATACACCAACACAATTACAAATATACCAGGAAAGACATCTCTAGTTACTCATTCCATTGAAGTAACTACTAACAAACCCATCTGTCTAAGACCATACCCCATACCATTTTCTTCCAAAGAGACAATCATTAAGGAAGTTCGTCAGATGGAAAAAGAAGGCATTATAGAAAAGTCATCCTCTTCTTATTCCTCACCAATTGTGTTAGTAAAGAAAAAAGATGGATCCACTCGGTTCTGCATCGACTATAGAAAATTAAATGCAATAACCGTGTCGGACGCAGAACCGATTCCTAATCAGGAAGACTTATTCATTCAACTCAGAAACGCAAAATATTTTTCAAAAATTGACTTGGTTAAAGGTTACTGGCAAATACCGGTTGACAAGAACTCTAGAAAGTATACAGCGTTTCAAACCGACTTAGGTTTATACCAATTTAGATACATGCCTTTCGGGCTATGCAATGCACCGGCCACGTTTGCACGCTGCATGCGCCGGGTTCTTGATGGGCAAAAAAACGCTGTCAGTTTTTTTGATGACATTTGCGTCTTCGGCAGTTCTATAAAAGAACATAACAAGGCCCTGGAGCAGGTACTGAATAGACTGGAAAACGCAGGTCTGACAGCTCGACCCACAAAAATGGAAATCGGCTTCACAGAAATCGAGTTTCTAGGCCACATAGTTGGACAGGGTACACAAAAACCAAAACAAGGTGTTGTCAATAAGATCATAAACATCAAACCGCCGCATACCAAAAGACAAGTAAGAAGCTTGCTGGGACTTATTGGGTACTACAGAAAATTTGTACCTGATTTCGCAGGTATTTCAGGCATATTTTCAGACCTAACAAAAAAAGGAAAACCGGAGAAAGTTCTGTGGACAAATGAGTGCGTCGAGGCGTTAGATAAACTCCAACGTGCTTTATCTTCACAACCATTGCTCATTCTCCCAGACCTAGATAGTGAGTTCGTGATCAGAACGGATGCGAGCGATACCGCTATAGGCGGTTGCTTAATGCAAGAACGGCATGGTCTACTTCACCCCATAGCTTATGTGAGTAGGAAACTGCTGCCTCGCGAGACACGATATTCGGTTATAGAGAAGGAATGTTTAGGGGTCATCTGGACAATCACAAAGTTTTCGAGATACCTTTATGGTTGTCACTTCACAATTGAGACTGACCACAAACCGTTAACGGTTCTACAAACATCAAAGTCCATAAATAACCGGGTTGCAAGATGGGCTTTAACATTGCAGGAATACAATTTCACAATCAGACCAATTCCGGGGGCTGAAAATGTATTAGCTGACGTTCTGAGCCGATTAGTATAGGCTTGCTGTGGGTTATGAAGAAACTGATGTTCTAATAACACACCTACGGGTGTTGATGGATTTATCACCTTCTGCTTCCATGCAAGCGAGGTGACAAAATTAAAAAATGGGTCAAGTCGCGAGTACCATGAAGTGCCCACTAGATTTTGTCAGAGTTCACCGACACTCCTGACGAGCTTGACCGGTGTGCTGTGTCGGAGAGAATAAGACGTGTGTGAGTTGAGTTTTGAAGGAGTGAACAGTGGCGAGTGCTGTGGATATGGTGTATGATTTTTGTCTTATGAAGGCAGTGAGTTTTTCTACGGATGGAAGAGGACTTGTGTAACTTTAACTGTTTTGTGTAGTGGCATATAGGCACACATAGCCAATAAATAAGAAAACCTGAAACCCTGAATTGTTTGTTGATACTTGGAGCAAGAGTCAGCTCTGTAGGAGCTGGAAATAAAGGGGTTCTAGACCCTTGTAAAATTGTTCTGTGGCTAGTACAGAGGGGACCGACCCCTAGACAACATACGTTCCCCCCCATAAAAAATGAATTTTAATATAAATAAATTTATAAATATGTTTGTTTTACTTTGTGCTGATATATATTAAATATATATTAAATTTTAATAACACAAAAGTGTACATTTTATTACAACTTTAGCTTGTTAGTCAAAAAGTTGAACAGTTTTTACACTTTAATTTTATAATGCAGAATCAATTAAAAGGTTGATAAGGACTAAATATAATTGTTTGTGGAAGTATAAATGTCATTATTGTCAGCATAGCTGACAATTATAGTATAGTTTCTAGCTGCTGTTATCTTCCCATGGAGGAGCCAGGTGTTGCACTTCGTAACAATGGGCATCAGAGACATCATTTGGGTAGGGCAGGGGGGCATCCCTCCCCCCACCCCGATTTTGCTGGTTTTATTTAAATTGCTATGTACTGTGGCGCCTCCAGTAATAAACTATTTAACAAGCCGACCAAGTTTTGGTTTTGCCCCCCCCCCCTTTCCTTCCTTCCCCTTCCTTCCCCTTCCTTCCCCTGAAAAATACCTGAAATGCCGCCCCTGATGGGCATAGTCTATAGTAGCTGATTTATCATTTTCATCTTGTGGAACTGATATACCAGACTAGTCAACACCATTCCTATCTAACCATTCAGCACTTAAGATAGAAGTATTGTCGGTGTGAGCAATAATTGCCATAAGCTCTCTCTGTCTTTGAGTTGGTATAGTTGTAATTGAACACCGATGAGTTGGTGTTGTTTTTTTAATTGAACACCGTGTAAAATGATGTGTTAATCTATCTAGGGAGCGGGTTAAGAGAAAGATGACAGGTGAAGAGATGCCAACTATTGACTTCTCTTGCACTAACAAAGTGTGGTAACATTCTGACCAGCCATCTGCAGTGCACAGGCAGACACACATTAAATAAATCTTATATTGTCAAAAGCCTAAACATATGACTATTTACACTCATTAAATTGTTTTAAATAATCTAAGAACCTGTCATATAAAGAAAAAAGTGACACTTGGATGGACCACCCCATCTGCCACTCTTTCCACGTCACTGGCAGAGGCGTAGATAGAGAGTTTGGCACCAGGGTACACGATTATCAACTCTGAAACCCATTATTTTCATCTATTAACTAATCAACAAAACCAGCGTTGGCCTCCCGCAAGTCTGCTGCCCTGGGAAATCTGTCCCCACTCTTCTCTCCTTCCTTAGCAATACGTCCCAGGTCACGGGCTTTGCCCACTCAAAATTCTGAAATGCCCCCTCCCTCGGAGGAAACTGAAAGAAACACTGTGGGCAACGTGTAATGGTGTTTTATAGAACCTATAGCTGTGGGCCGCAATCCGTATTTTTATAAATATCTAATCTGTAACAATCCAAATACATTAATTAATATGAATTTGAAAATTCTTACTACTTGGTAAAATCCACTGGAAGCTAGCAGATGGGAAATCAAATGGACTGAATGTCTCATCTGCACATATCAGTGTGGCTGTGGAGCCGTAGATCAAGTTTTGGTACCTTTCTGGGGACACGTCTCTCTTGTGTGCCTCAGCTGCCTCAAGATGAACTATAGCACATGTCAGAACTATCACCACAAACATTAATGGCACTAGCTTCGCCATCTTTAATGGACCGATCCAATGGTAAGTTGAAAGCTGTGGATGAGACGTGGGTGCTCAGTGTCAAACACATTTCTGCAGGTTTTTGATGGATGCATCCAGTGGTCAAAATTCTCTTCTTTTTTTTTTTGCCTTATCAATTTTAGTTTGCAAGCCTAAGTTAATTAAATTTAAATGATGTTTTAAATTTAAAATTCAAGTAAGCTTAATCTAGCTTCCTACAGATTACCTCAGTGACCATTCACCAGCTCCCAATAAACTTATCATCCACTCCCAACCTACTTCCCCACCGACCTAGCCGCATAAAAAAATAAAATATTTCATATTTCTATCTTCACACTAACCGACTGCTACGTGTTGATTTTATTTGAGATATCTTCTTTATGTGAGGGGGAGGTGTGAGGGTTTGGCAGTCGTCACAGGTTCACACGTCTACAAAGCTAAGAGTTGTTATTTGGAGAAAACGTTACTCAAACGTAATACTTACAGCTCAGGATGAAAATAATAATGAATTTAACCAAGATTTATCTTTGGCATTACAAACACATCATTTGGAAATCTGGCATCATTGGAGCTTAAGATAATGGGTACTTCAAAGGTTGCCACCGTGAATCATGAGCACATTATCAAAAGAGCGTTGTGTCGTCATTAAAACTAACACGCCAAGTCAAAGCCTGTATATTCTCTCTAAATATTATTTCTGCATATCTTCTCTCTATACCCGACGCCCTGCTCCCAACTCCTAAAACATATTCGCCAGCATGGACCCATGTCATGTGCCCTAATTGGTCATGTTGAAAGCGTGTAATCAACTATTATTTAACAATGTGAAGTTAGGTTGGGCTACCTACACGTTATCACGTAGTTAGGTTGGGCTACATACACGTTATCACGTACATGGAAGGCTTACAAAGTCATCGCTTGATAAATGCTAAAATATCTGTTTAAATGTGTGATATATATCTATTAAAGTTTTTTTTTTGTTTTAAATATAGTGAAAAATTTGGGATGAGATGTCCATGTCCGGCCACAATGTTTTGAATAAATAATCGTATAAGCTTGCCTCAGTACTTCGTGTAGGCTAATTCTTTCAATCATAACGCAGTATGAAGCTGAAATGTGACCAAATCAAAGACTCATACAACACGACAAGACCTAAGGGACCATATCATTTTGTATTACTAAAACTTGTGAAATGAAAAAAAAGGATGACACGCCATATTGCAAAGGATACGCCCCCTTACAAAGATAATTTAAGTTCAATTCTTTGCATACACGTCATTTATAATAGAACAGAAATACCTCTAGTCCCACGGGAACAACGAGGAACACTTGGGGAACAGCGAGGAACACTTGGGGAAAAAAGAGGAACACATGGAACAGTGCCCCTGTACTTTTTTCAAATGTTGCGGAGTCCCACACCAATTCCTAACACCACTTCACCCCACCACTGCCCCACACAACTTCACCACACAACTTCACCTCACCACTGCCCCACACCACTTCACCTCACCACTGCCCCACATCATTTAATCTCACCACTGCCCTCCACAACTTCACCTCACCAATGCTCCACACCCCTGCCCCACACCAATTCACCTCACCCCTGCCCTCCACCACTTCACCTCACCACTGCTCCACACTCCTGCCCCACACCAATCCACCTCACCACTGCCCTACACCACTCCACCTCACCACACCACCCCCCCACACCACTCCACCTCACCACTCCACACTCCTGCCCCACACCACTTCACCTCACCCCTGCCCTACACCACTCTACCTCACCACACCACTGCCCCACACCAATTCACCTCACCACTGCCCTACACCACTCTACCTCACCACACCCCTGCCCCACACCAATTCACCTCACCACTGCCAAACACCATTTCACCTCACCACTTTATCTCACCACTGCCCCACACCACTTTACCTCACCACTGCCCCCACCATTTCACCTCACCAATGCCCACACCCCTTCACCTCACCACTGCCCCACATAACTTCACCTCACCACAGCCCCACACCACTTCACCTCACCACTGCCCCACACAACTTCACCACACCACTTCCCCTTACCACTGCCCCACACCACTTCACCCCACCACTGACCCCCACAACTTCACCTCACCACTGCCCCACACAACTTCACCACACCACTTCACCTCACCACTGCCCCACACAACTTCACCACACCACTTCACCTCACCACTGCCCCACACAACTTCACCACACCATTCACCACTGCCCCACACAACTACACCACACCACTTCACCTCACCACTGCCCCACACCACTTCACCACACCACTTCACCTCACCACTTTATCTCCCCACTGCCCCACACCACTTCACCTCACCACTGCCCCACACCACTTCACCTCACCACTGCCCCACACAACTTCACCTCACCACTCCCCCACACCACTTCACCTCACCACTCCCCACACCACTTCACCTCACCACTGCCCCGCGCAACTTCACCTCACCACTGCCCCACACCACTTCACCTCACCACTCCCCCACACCACTTCACCTCACCACTGCCCCACACCACTTCACCTCACCACTCCCCCACACCACTTCACCTCACCACTGCCCCACACTACTACCCACACCCTTCTCCTTCCTATATTGAAATAGAAACTGGCCAAATGGAGGTACGTCTAGGGACAAGTTTCATGTTTAAAGGGTGTTTATAACTCTAAATTTTTGTGTGCACATCTCAATGATCAATGATCAATTTATGTATACACAACTTAGTAGTCAGCTTCAAATTAATGTGTGCAAATCTCGGTGATCAACTCCAAATGTATATCTGCACATCTTAGTGGTCAACTCTAAATTGATGTGTGCACAGCTAAGGGGTGAACAGGTTTGTAATTTTAGTTAAATCTATATTTTTTGCTTTCTAGCATGTTGTGGTTACCCATGTACAACTTGATAAGACAAATTTGCATCAATTTGATTAATATTTATGACATTGTAACCAGAAAATGGTCGACTTGAGCCCATTGGGCCCTAGGTGACATTGGGTCCTAGATGACATTGGGTTCTAGATGACATTGGGTCCTAGATGACATTGGGTCCTAGGTGACATTGGGTGACATTGGATCCTAGGTGACATTGGCTCCTAGGTGACATTGGATCCTAGATGACATTTGGTCCTAGATGACATTGGGTGACTTTGGCTCCTAGGTGACATTGGGTCCTAGATGACATTGGGTCCTAGGTGACATTGGGTGACATTGGCTCCTAGGTGACATTGGGTCCTAGATGACATTGGGTCCTAGGTGACATTGGGTCCTAGGTGACATTGGGTGACATTGGGTCCTAGGTGACAATGGGTCCTAGGTGACATTGGGTGACATTGGGTCCTAGGTGACATTGGGTGACATTGGTTACTAGGTGACATTGGGTCCTAGGTGACATTGGGTGAAATAGGGTCCTAGGTGACATTGTGTCCTAGGTGACATTGGGTCCTAGGTGACATTGGGTGAAATAGGGTCCTAGGTGACATTGGGTGAAATAAGGTCCTAGGTGACATTGGGTCCTAGGTGACATTGGGTCCTAGGTGACATTGGGTGAAATAGGGTCCTAGGTGACATTGGGTCCTAGGTGACATTGGGGCCTAGGTGACATTGGGTCCTAGGTGACATTGGGTGAAATAGGGTCCTAGGTGACATTGGGTCCTTGGTGACATTGGGTCCTAGGTGACATTGTGTGAAATAGGGTCCTAGGTGACATAGGGTCCTAGGTGACATTGGGTCCTAGGTGAAGCTGGGAACTATTTAAACCATGTCGATAAAAGGGCCTATACAGTAAACAATCAAAACAGACAGCAGGACTTATTGATACAGTAGACACAAGGAAACTTCAAAAAAAAGTTTTAGGATTTATTTGAAAATATCCAATGGTCTATTGATTAAAATACCTTTGTTAAAACAAATAGTGGGCTAAAAATGACAAATTATACAATCTAATTTAAATACTGTCAATAAAAATGTATGGTAGGCCTATATATACATTTGTAAAAAAAATATACAAGGTTTACTATAGTATGTGTAGATAGAAAAATACTGTGTACGTAAGACAGAGGTCAACCATAAAAAGACTGTGTAAGTAAGACAGAGGTCAAAAATAAGAAAAGAGATCAACCATAAAAATCAGATCAAACAAATAGTTACTATTGAGTGAGACATCCTCGAAATGTCTGATAGTGAACAGATTTATTGACTTGAGACACGGAATCGTAACAAGGTTTCACCAAGTACGCCCTCGGCTTATACAACTCAGGTGAAAGGGAATCCTGCTAGCATCAGAAACAAGAGGGCATCCTTACAACAGGAGCCACAAAGAGGGAATCCTTGTAACAGGAGCAACAAAGAGGGAATCCTTGTAACAGGAGCAACAATGAGGGAATCCTTGTAACAGGAGCAACAAAGAGGGAATCCTTGTAACAGGAACAACAAAGAGGGAATCCTTGTAATAGGAACAACAAAGAGGGAATCCGTTCTTATAGCTAAAAAGTATCTACTTAAGAGCTTTAAAATGTTGAGCTCTCAAAACATGTGTGATCAATTTTAATTCCCTTGTTTCTACTCAATGGTTAAATATTCAAAGGCATTAAAATAAGACACAGTCAGATCTTCTTCTTGGCAAGAGTCCCTCATACAATTAAACTACAATATAAATATACATTAAATGTGACTAGCATGATACTATTTTTTTTGTGGAAATGAATTTCTAGATTCGATGATATTTTATTCTGACAGGACTTTAAGACGACACTACAAGGGCTGCAAGGGTGTTTGATCAGTGTTTTGGTACTTTGAGAAAGGGTCTTCACTTATTGATGCATCATATACAAGCTCCAATATACATTTGTTTTTTGTTATACGCTGTTCTTTATTTCATAAATGTATTTTATTTTAATGTCACTGTCTCTTTTGCTAATATTTTTATGTAAAGCGCGGTGAGCCCTAGGCTGGGGTACCGCGCTATATAAGATCACTAATAATAATAAAGTAATAAACAGGATGCCTATGTTTGACATAGATTGAGAACAACAGCTTTGATGAACGTTTTTTTTTAAATGCTGTAGAAACCTAAACTTAAGTTAAAAGTTCTTATCTGCTGGATTATCTACAGGTGAAAATAGACAAGGAGAGTGGGGGGGGGGGGGAATAAGCCCAAAAAATGAAAAAAAAAACATAAAAACATACTACATTCAAAAAGGGGAAAAAAAACAAGGAGAGGGGGGGGGGGGGGGAATCAGCCCAAAAA